CATAAGGTAAGTGTGAGGTGTCTGTTTGCCAAATCAATTTGGTCCATTCATTTGGCTGTCTGTGTAGTTTTGGGGTTTTTCTTCTTTTTTTTTCCTACAAAGTTTTCTGTGAAAGAGAAGCAGATTTTTGACAATGTTGACACAAGGAGGGAGACCCATGCTGAGGTCTGGTTTTATACTGAGATGAGCAAACTTCATTTGCCTTTGGAGGATGCTGGCCATACCTGATACTCTCTGCCAGCCAGCCAATTTCTTTTCTGGAAGATGTTCCAGAACAAAGCCCTAAGGTCTGTTCTCCAAATCCCTGCTTAATCACAGAATAGGCTGAGTTGGAAAGGACCCATCAGGATTGAATCCAAGCCCTGGCCCTGCACAGGACATCCCAAGAATTGCACCATGTGCCTGAGGGAATTGTCCAAACACTTTTTAATTCTCCTTGTGTCAGAATATATTGTAATGGCTTCACTTAAACAACAGACAATTGCAGTATTTTTTAAAAATTAGCAATATGAATGTAAGGAATTGAATATTTAGTTCCTGACTTTTTTTTTTTTTTTTTTGTTAAGGTTACAGTTGGTAGGATGCTTTTCTACAAGGAAGGTGGGTTAGAGCAGGAACCAGGAAATCCAGGGAAACTGCTCCATCAAGTGTTGAGAGGTAAAACTGGCACTGCAGGACTCTAAAAACACAGGTCAGCCTTGGGCCTGAAGCAAAGTGATCTGCACGTGTCCAGTACAGATCAAACGTGCAAAATCCCTACTGATCTTCATAGGGCCTGGCTCCACTCTGAGCTGCACAACATATTATGGGATGGTCTTCATTTTAATTTGATGTTTACTCCCTTAAAAATGTCCACTGCAGTAGCCAGTAAATCTGATCTTTTTTATTTCTTCCCCAACAGTTCTAATAAAAGCAGATGTTTTGCATATATGCACATCAAATGCATGGTTCAAAAGTAAAACTTTACTTGCTTTCCTATGAAATGGAGCAATAATTGTTGGAAGATTTGTAAGGAGAGAAAACTAAGCATTTGTTTTATCTTGAATTTTTAGATTGCATTTAATTATTCTGTTATATGTTGACAGATATGAAGGCTGGTCTGCTTGTACAAATGTCACTGAAATAATATTTAGACTTAGATATTCAGGCTTTCTTGCTTTCACAGTGGAAATTTGAACCCCTCTGACCTGAACCTTTATTTTACTTATTAATTTAGGATATCTGCATTGCTCACTGCTTAGAGAAAGTTTGCCATTTACATGGTAAGTCTGCCATCTACAAGTAGACCTTGATTTTTATACAATTTTTTTGCCAAAATGAGTCTACTCTCACACAGCCACTTGAATCAATTGAGGTAAATTTTACTTTAAGTTTTTGGCTTCTAGGGCTTTCTGTGGAGAAACTACACTGAAATTTTATTGAAACTTCATAAGAGAATAAAAATTTTAATAAAATCTTAGTTGAAAAGTCCAGCTAGTAAATGAATGGGATTAATGTAGTATAACCTGATTTTTTAAGCAAATGCAGTGCTAAGAAGAATTGAGTTTTTCGTAAAAAGGGGTAAGAGCTTTCAAATGTTCTTAAAAATGTCATTGCTGTTTAGATTTAAAAGCTTTCTGATAGAGACGTTTTTTGTTGTTGGTTTGGTTTTTTTTTGTTTGAGTGACAGAAAATTCTCTATTTTACTATTTTTGCTGAAAGCCATTGAGCTTTAGGCTGTTTCTACCTCTTCCCAGGGGCTGTCCCAGGATTTGTTTTATCTCGTCCTGACTGGTACCTTCAGGAGCCCCAGAATTTTGTAGAGTCATGGAGTCATTTAGATTGGAAAAGACCTTAAAGATCATAGAATCCAGCCATAACTCTTCTGATGTATTGCCTCCATCCCCAAATACTGAATGAGACTGGGGGACTGTACAAAACCTAAAAATTTCCTTAAAAGCCTCAGAAACAAGTGTCTGATATTCACAAGCAGGTACAACTCAGGGTGTGCTCCCTCCTCACTCCTGCACTCTGTTAGCAAATATGTATCAATAATATATTCTATAAATAATAGACATTTTATTAAAATATTGTCAGATCCCACGTTTTTTGTAAATGCAAGTTATAACCATGGTATGAGAGCAACCCAATATGAGTAGCACTGTGAGTTTCTGTACCTGTTTAAAAAAATGTACATGTTCACCAGCACCTAAAGCCTTCCCTGAATTTTGAGTTGGGGAGAAAATGATTAGTTTATAGAGAAATAAAGAGCAACCAACCCTAACTTGTTTCAGAAAAGGCTTGGAGCGGGAGTTACCAGCTTAGTATCTTTTGCCTTCAGTGGGCTTCAAAAATTTGGATGGCTTCAGCTGCGTCCCTGAATTGTTTGGGTTTGTGTTGAATTTGTCAGCATTGATGAAAACCTGATGGGGAGAGTGGTAATTGCTGGGAGACCTGGCAGCAGAGAGTAAAGAAAAGGATGGTGAGTCAGTGCAGAGTGATACTGTTTTTCATCTAAAACCCCAAAAACCCCCTCCACTACTATGCAGAGTAACAGGTGTAACCACAAGCTTTCCTAGGTCACTCCCCCAGCCCAAGCTAATTTAGGCTTCTAAGCCTATGGAATGAGTACAACATGATGGAGCCAAAATTTATGAAAAAATATCCATGTTAATATAGGCTGTAAAATAAAACGAAAGCTGAAGTAAAACAGCTTTTATTCACATGAAAAAATAAACCTGTTAGCTCTGATAATCAATTAAAATATTATAGAATCAAGCAATCACAGATGTAGAAGCTTATCCTCCTTAAAGTCATTATAAATCACATCCTTTCCTAAATCTCTCTATTCCCTTTCATTGCTTACATTATAATCCCTGTCCGGGTATCATTTCCATTGCTAAACACACTGTTTGCCAGTCAGTTTATTAAGGTTTGTCTTGATAGTGCCAAAACAAATGCTCCTTTTCAAACATAAAAGGAAGGCTAATATTAAAACAATAATTTCACCTCTTTGCTGGCAGAGCCTACTTATTGAAGAAATTGGCACACAGAATCTCTGAGGTGACAGGGAATTAGTGTCTCAATAGGAGCCTGCTTTGAAGTTGACCCACACTGTTCTTGGTGGTGTTGGGTATACCGTGTCTCTTGCAATAGGATGTGGGGAAAGAGAACTGTTTGGGGCAGGAAGCAGCTAACAATGAAAGTGTTCTGGTTTTGGTGAAGAGACTTTAGTGTAAAAAAGGATGCAACATAGGAGACACAAAAAATAAAGGCAGAAAAATTACAGCCTTGAGACTGTAATGACAGGACGAGGGGTAATGACTTCAACTGAAAGAGAGCAGGTTTAGATTAGATATCAGAAATTCCTTGCTGTGACAGTGGTGAGACATTGCAAGAGGCTGCCCAGAGAAGCTGTGGGTGCTCCATCCCTGGATGTGCTCAAGGTCAGGCTGGATGGGGCTCTGAGCAGCCTGCTCCACTGGAAAGTATCTCTTCCCAAAACAGTGCTTTGGAGCTACATCATCTGTAAGGTTCCTTCCATGGCTGAGAAGAACAACAAAGAGGCATTAGAGGGCATGGGGCAGCTAAAGGAAATGTGTTTGTTCAGGAGGGCTTTGGTGACATCAGGCTTACAGCAGTGATGTCAGCAAAGTACTCTGAGTAGTGAGAGGGCAGTAGGGCTGAGAGCATTACTTCCATAGTGAGGAGTGCTCTAAAATATTCCTATGGAAGCAAACACTTGTATTACACCCAAAACTGCTGCCACTTCAATTGAAACCTAGGGGAAACACGAGCCTAACAGCTTAACAACCCTCCTGATTTATATGCAAAAACTTCTGTGAACAAAAAGCAGAGCTCCTAAAAACATGACTTAAACCTAAGTCTGCGAAGTGATGAGATGTAAATGAAATGTGTTCTGTTTTTCTATGGTTTAGCTGGTGGCAGGCAAACCCAGAGCCAAGGAAAGCTGACAAGCCACACTAGGGCTCAGGGGTCTGAGCACTGCGAGACAGAAGCTGCTGCTAAGTGGGAAGGCTTTTGAACCCAGAGCACTCTAAATACCATTTCAGCTTGAAATGCTCAAATTTCATGAGAGCTTGATGAAACAAAACCTAACTAACACTTCATCCAAATATGTACTTTTTGTATACAAAATACGTATGCAAAGGAACTTGAGGAAACGGCATGATGTAGTCAGGGGATGTTCAGGTTGGATATTAGGAAAAGGTTCTTCACCCCGAGGGTGGCTGGGGACTGGAACAGTTCCCCAGGGCAGTGGTCACAGCACCAAGCCTGGCAGAGTTCCAGAAGCATTTGGACAATGCTCTGGGACACATGGTGGGATTCTCAGGGTGGCCTGACCAGGGCCAAGAGTTGGACTCAATGATTCTGGTGGGTCCCTTCCAACTGAGCAGATTCTATGTTTCTATAAATCTGATTGCAGCAAGAACAAGATGAGCAATGTTCCCTTTTTGCATGGATAAGCCTATTTAAAATAAAAACCACAAATAGCTCCAGTTCATGGCACACAGCTGATAGATCACTATGGTTGGACATGGATGGGCATCAGAAAAAGTGGCAGTTTCATCTCTAGTTGATGAAAACATTAGGAATAACAGTGCTTGAGATAAAGAAATCGAGCAAGATGAGGTAGCATGGGGGAAATATTTAAAGGAAAAGAAAAATATCGCTCAGATAAGAACAGTCAAGTGTCTTCCTATGGAATTGCATTTTGCTTCACATTAAATGGGAAACTGTATGCTCTTTGATGTTCCAAACTGCCTTTAAAGATGAAGCCAGATAAATGATTGATGGTTCAAGGATTTGCCCCTGGAATGGTAAAGGTGGCCTCAGTGGTGTTTGCCAATAGATACAAACTGGTATTGCATTTCCATTACAGGTAATCTGGACATGGAGAAATGACTGTCCATAGCTCCAAAGAGATTTACAGTAGATCAGAGAAAGGAAGTGTTAAACGTGGAGTGAAAAGTTTGGGCGTAGTGTTTGTATTAATGTAACTGCACTGATTTTGTTGCCATTCTTTCAGATTTTTCTCTTAAGTACGTCTATTGGGGTTTATCACTGGGGAATTGCCAGCTTTGCTGAGGGGAAAAACATCTTTAATTTAGAAATATTTTTTTTTTCTTGTGACAGAAAATGAAATATAAGTTATCATCAGATTTTCAAACCTGGGTTTGAAAATGGAACTTGGAGAAGAATGCATGATCCTAACAGTCAAGAGGAATTTCTTCATGGGTTGTCTGACACTGGAATGAGCTCTCCAGGTAGGTGGTGGAATCACCATCCCTGGAGGTGTTCAGTGCCACTGGATGTGGCATTTAGTGCCATGGTCTAGTTGACAAGGTGGTGATGAGTCTAAGGCTGGGCTTGATCTCAGGGGTCTTTTCCAGCCCAAGTGGTTCTGTGATTCTGTGATCCCTGGCACACTCATAGGTTTTCTTCTGCTTTGTAAAAATCCCCCAGAACTGATGGGACATTCTAAACTAAGTGTAGGGGTAGAGGGATGAGATTTCAAGTCTTTTTCAGTCGCCATCACATTGGTTACATAAAAAAATCTGATTTTTAAATAAATAGGACTGGAGAAAGAATTTTTTTTCAGGTTGCTCATCAGATAATTGGTGTGGAGCTACATTTTGTGACTGCAAATGATGAGTAAGGCAAGACCAGAGTTTCCCTGAGATATTGGATGGGTGTTTCTGGTATTCCTCTTAATGAAATCCTGTTTTTATTAAATTCCCAGTCTCTAAATGTAACAAATTCTTATGTCAAAGTTGATGGGACTCCAGCATTTCCTAACTACAGCCCTGCCTCAAGATAGTAAATGAGCTATAAATTCTCAGCTTCTTCAGGACTAGGATGAATTGGCTGTGGAGATTAATTTGAAAAGATATTTTAGTCGCAGTTTTTCCTGCCTACATGAAGACTCAAGCATCTTGGTGCCCCATTCATTTAATGGAGCCGTTGGACATTCAGTGATACTGAAAGCTGCTCCCAAGCTGCTTCAAGTGAGTAATTTCAAACTCACAATGCAATAAATCTTTCCTAGAACATACACAGACTACTATAAACAGGTAAGTGAATTACCAGTTATTTTCTTGAAAATATTAACAATGAAATTGCTTAGTTACATTTCTGGAGGAAATAGAAATTAAATTTTTAAGATTCTCTTGACCTGAAAAGTGTGAAGTTTTCTGCTTTTAAATGCATCACTCTGCTGTAGAATGAAGGATATCTGAGTTGATAACTCAGTTTGAGATGTTCATGGCAAGGAAGAGTTGGTCTATTGATGAGCACCACGTGCTCAGCACTGAAAAGGCTGCTCTGATCTTTTCCTGGCATGCCTGCTCTGGGCAGAAAGATATTTTGACATTTTTAATGTGATATTAAAGGATATGGATATCCTCTTGTGAAATACAATGAACTTATGTGTTTTATGTCACTCTGCTTTGAGACAGCTGGAGCTGAAAATGGGCTGTAACTATAAACACCATTAGTCCTTTTTTTTCATCTGTGTGGAGCACAGCCACCCCTACTCCTGTGCTTTTGGACCCATAAGGATGACAATTTACCTGCCCCACCTGCACTCTATAGGAACATTGAATGGTTTGCTCAGGTAAACTGAGGCAGTGGTGGCTGGGCTTTTGTTGTGTTATGGTTTCTTGGCTGTGCAAAGAAAATGAGTATTAATGACTGCTTATGCCCTAAGATTTTTATGAAAAGGTTATAAGAGATCCTCCAGGTTGTGGGAAGGATGACCAGGGTGGTGACGGGTCCAAGGTGGACATGTGCAGTGTGGTGGAGCAGTTTCCTGGGCTTCCATCACATCAGCAGTGAAGGCTGTTGCCCTAACCTGGCCACCATCTGCAGAGCCAGCACTGGGGAACACCAATGTGGCCAGCAGGAGGGAGCTGCAGCCCTTCCAGCAGGTTTTGGAGAGCTGCTGGGAGACCCCCTGGCTGGTGGAGAGTGTTCAACACAAACGCACTGTATCCAGATGAACCCCTCAGCACAGCAGCTACCTTAAGCACTCCCCAAACTCCCCCAAAAGAAGGGGAGGGATCACCCAAAAGCAGCTTCTAAAAGCCTTTTGTAGTCATTAGCACTGTCCCTGTGCTGCAATGAGCATGTCCACATCTCTGCAATGTGCTCACATTTCAAAGGCAGTGCTCCTAACCAGCTGCATCTCAAGAAATCTAGCAATTTTTTACAATTTTTTGTTCTTTCTTTCTTTCTTTTTTTTTTTTTTGAAGATACCATGCCAAGTCTTTTGAAATGAAAGCTGGGTCAGGCCTAGTGGAGATTAATGTAGGAAAAATGCTGCTGGCTTGATAAGCCACAGATGTCTGTGAGATTTGTGGAGGTTGCTGACAGCTCGTGATGGTTTGCAGCTTGTGAGGTCCCCCTGCTCCAGGACCATGGATGTGCTGAATCCATGGCTGGAGGTGCAGGGCAGGGCTTGGCCCAGAGTGGTGCTTGGGTGAAGGGTTTGAGAAGACCTGGAAGAAAAAAATCTGGTCTGGACCCACTCTGTCATTGCAGTGTTTTGTTAAGTGCTGCACCTATTTATGCTTTTTTTTTTTTTTAATAATGTCAGTATTGGCAACTATTTTTATAATAGTGTAATGGGGAGACATAACTTGGTGAAAATCTGTGAAAGCATAATATGGTGATGGAAACTCAGGTTATTGCACCAGCCTTGGAAAATTGGAAAGGTGACTTATGTTGGTGGAATCATTCATAGTGGGTGGACAGGAGTTGGGCTTCTGTTAACACTGCATGCTTAATAAAAACTATGCAACTTTTTTCAGGTAAGACTTTCATTGAGTCCTGTTAGCTGGTACCAGTAACACCAATGAATTGACAGAAATTTTTTTATTGCTCTTTTTAAACTCAAGATTGTCCTGTCATCAAACGCTGCCACAGGAGCAGCGCAGAGTGTGACAGAAGGTCCCTCTGTTAGAATGTGGGCTGGGCTGGGTGCTTTGTTTTTCAACAGTTACAGATGATCGCATATATAAAAATTCAACAAAATTCATAATTTCTTGACATTGAGCACACATATACACTGCATCATTAATGAGATGCTGCCAGTTAGACTATTTGTGGAACAAAACTCTGTTGTTTTCATGACATCAAGGCCAAATACTTCACTGACTTGTGGACACACATGAAGTTGTCCCTCACGTGCTGCCAGTGACTCCTCATGCAGAAATCCCCTGGGAGTCTCATCCTCTACTCAGATTAAGGTTCTTCTGAAGCTTCATTCTTGCATGCCCTGATATTGTATGCTCAGGTTTATTTTAGGCAGATAATTCAATTAAATCTTTTGTGAGTTTTAATTTTGAAGTGATGTTTTTTTATCACCTTAACATACCTTAATGGGCCCTGATGTTTATATGCTACTTGTTGTTACCAGTACTTTCCACATCTGGATAACAGGAATTGGTACAATCCTTGTCCTAAAAGTCTTGGGAAAATGCAGAAAATTGCTTTGCCAAAATGTTATGAAAATAATTTGAACCAAAGTAGCCTTTGGGGATTTCTGGGATTTTTTTTTTCCCTTTTTTTTTTCCCTGGTGTTTTTGGGTTTTGTTTTGTTGTTTGTTTTGGTTTAGTTTGGTTTCTTCCTCAGAACAACAAGAAGGTTTTCTGTAAAATTTTGATAAGGCAAGGAAGTAAATCCCTAAATAACAATTTAAATTCAGAATTACCTATAACAGGAATTTATGCATGTGCTTGTAAACAAATTAGCAAAGAACCAGGCCTCTCTTGTCGTCTTTGTAATACTGCATTTTTATTCCTGCTGACAGCCCCTGTTGCTCACCCAGGCTGGTACCTTTTGCCTTGTGTCTAATCAACACCTCTTGGTAGAATTCAGAGACAGCTGATATTTAGCATATATATTTTTATTGGAAAAACTTGTACACTAGTAGCTCACATAAGCTGATTGAGGCAGCTAAGAAATAATTTCCATTAATGATAGGAAAATTTTATTCCATGTACCCTCAAAAGTAGCAATGGTTTTAGGTGAATTTGGAAGGAAATCACAGAAGAGTTTGGATTGGAAAGGACCTTAAAAATTATCTCATTCCAACCCTCATGGTCAGGAATACCTTGCACAGGGCTGCTCAAAGCCCTGTCCAGGTTGGCCTTGAACACTCCCAGGAATGGGGCATCCACAGCTTCTTTGGGCAACATCTTCCAGTATCTCACCACCCTCACAGTAAAGAGCTTCTTCCTAAAATCCAGCCTAAATCTGTCCTCTTCCAGTTTAAAACCATTCCCCCTTGTCTTGTCACTATTTCCCCGTGTAAAAGCTGCTCTCCTTTCTTTCGCAGGTTCCCTTTAGGCACTGGGAAGTATCCCTGGAGTTTCTTCCTCAGGCTGAACAGCTCTCAGCCCAGTGTCATACCAGCAGTGCTCCAACCCTCTGATGGTCTTGCTGGCTCTCCTCTAGACCTGTCTAACAGGTCCACCTCTTTCTCCAGGTGAGCTTGCACGAGGGCAGAATCCCTTGAGACATTGGGAGGCCAGTGCAGACTGAGGCAAAGAATTCACTGAGTACCTCAGTCTTCTCCATATCTGTAGTCACCAGTTCTCTCTTCTCATACCCATCCTGTTCACTCTCCTTGGCCTTTCCTTTCTGACCTGTGTGCTTACAGAATTCCTTCTTGTTATTCTTCACATCCTTTGGCAAGTCCTATTGCATCTGTCTTAGTTTTTCTGATCTTGTACCTACGCATCCAAACTATGGCTTCAGTTACCCAGATATTTGAGTATTTGAGGAAGAGAATTGAAAATTCTTTCATTTCAATTCCTCTGTAAAATAGAAAGTTTCAAGCATTTTCTTTGGAGGAAGTGAACAGGATGGAGACTGGCTATGTTATATAGCATATTACATATCAAATTATCTAGAGCCTCTAGATCTTCAGCATATATTGTGCTCACAGTTTGGGGTGGGAGAGATGGGGGGATAAAAAGTGCTATACACATGATCATCTGATATTTTTGCTTATGAGCACAAAACAGCCAGGTATAGCCATAATAAATACCTTCTGTCACTTAGTGCCACCATGATATCAACAAAGGGAACTCTGATATCTGCATTTGCAAAGGGTGAACAGAGACAGTGATCAAGTGAGTTCCGGGGAATTATCTTATTGTCAGCTCTTCTGTTTGTGGCTTGTGGACATCTCCTGCTCTTGTTCACTTTGTGGCACTTGTGGGGCTCTTGGTAAAGCTCACACACCAAGTTATCATTTAAACTCCTGTATCCTTGTGTAGCATTTAGAACCATATTCAGAACATTATTTTTCTTTACCCAGGGGGCTAAACAATTACTTTATCTGCTGTAGGTTGGTGTGTGCCTCTGCAGGGAAATCCATCACTGTAATAATGTAAATTCAGCTCTAGGAATTCTGCAATGCACAGCAGGGTGAAAACGTCCGTCCCCCCCACCCCCCATTTGGGATGGGAATGTGCCTCCCCTCCCGATCTTCAGGCAAGGCTTCTTTAAGGTAGCTCCTCTGTTGTGCCAAGCCAGCCTGCAGTGGGGATGGTTGTTCAAGGCTTTATTGTGTGAATCTGTAGGATAAGATATAAGCACGCTTTAATGAGGATCTAAAAACCAAGATTTCCCACAGAGTGCTGTGCTATAGCTGAACTATGACTTCTAAGTAGTTTCTAGTGCCTTGAATCTTATTTTTATGCTCTTAATGGTTATTATATTTAAATCCATTCTTTTTTCCTGTGGAATGGATCTGTCATCTGAAAATGTCTTAACAGAGCAGCTATCTTTCTTGTGAAGAAAAATTCCTTTGTGGAAATAAGCATATGAAGTTCACCATATAAAGGTGGCAATGCTACATAAAACCCCTGCAGGACTGGGTGGGGGAATGTGTATATTTGGGGTTTGTTTTGGTCTTTTTAAGAATAAGGGAGAAGTGTAATTTATGCCTGGATAATTAGTGGTGTTTTACCACTGAAATGGACACCACTTGGAGGAATAGTCACTGGCACCTTTCACACCTGCACAGGGTATGAAATTCCAAACAATTAAAACAATTAATGTTTCCTCCTGAAAATAGTCCATTGTGGTTCAGCAAAAACTGTGTTGTAGTACTTGTAACAAATGTGGTAAAACAGGATGTATGATAAATGGAAAATGTGCTGTCAAAGACCTTTACATGTGTTTTCATTCCCAAAAGTTGATATGGATAACTTTGTGAGCTAGTGTCACTTGCCAAGATGAATTTATTGCAGTTATTCCATGTGAACGGCTTTTGTTTTTCAAGAATTGTGACAGGGCAGTGTTTGGGTTTTTTTTGTTCTTCTAGAAACAAAAGTGTGGAGCCATTTGGTCTTTTGGTCAAGAACTGAAAACAAGTAGTAGGGGTTAAAAGTTATCTTAAATGTGAACAACTTGTCTGTATTTCTACTTATCTTCTATCTGAAAGGAGCTCTAAAGTGGGGGATGTCACACAAGTTTTTATATTAAATATTAGTTCGTTGTGTCCTAGCTTTGCTTGTAGGTGTTCACTCTCTATTTTTTCAAAGGGCAGGAAGACTGCAGTGTATCAATCACTTCATTTCTACACTTTGTGCATTCTTTGATTGTCATCAGACCTTAAGTCATCACATGAAAAAAAAATTTATATGTGCCCTGAGAACGCAAATACTTAAAAAGTAGACTTTTATCTGACAGCTCCAAAATGTCATTTCTGAGTGTTTGTGGAATAATATAATAATATTGATATTATTTCTTTAGAGGAGAAATGTAACATAATTTGTTTAACAGAAAGAAGGGGTTAAAATTCATTTGACTTCCATTAGTTAGTGTTTTCATGGTCATCTTTGTAGAGAAATGGTGAAAAATCATTTAAGAAAATGAAAGCTGAAATCTTCTGCATCCCTGGTGCAAAGCAGGATGAGCCACCAGCACTCCATGGGTTGCTGGGTGCCATCCCTTTCCCAGTTCCCTATTTTTGGAAGGTTCTGTAGAAGGTCAGTGGGAAACATAACTCCTGGCTCCTAAGGCAAAAGCAGCCTGGATTATCATCTATGTGAAACCAAAGACAGGGTGCTAGCTGAGAGCAAATAGTTACTCCTGTTAGTATTTCCTAGCTGAATGCAAGCAGCTTAAATTTCAGTTGTTCTAAATTAGCTGCTGAATTTAAAAAAAAAATTTAGCTCTATTTTGTTTCCCCTTAGTCAATCGTTCATTATTTCCATCTAGTGCTCGAAACCTAATCACGGTTACTGAGAAAATATTTCGGGAAACTATCTCCACAGAACATTTTAATGTAAATATTAAGAGAGAAACTTTTTGCCAGTATGATAAGAATAAATCACATATCATACACTCATAATAATACACCTAATTCATTTTTAATTTGCAGTTGCTGCATTTTTATTAGGAAGCCATAAACACTGATAGTGATATTTCATGTTTTATTAGTAACAGCAGTTGAAGGAAGAATTTGCTGGAAGCTCCAGCTCTCCAACAAGCATGTTTGCATGAGCACAACAGCACCAGGGAAGGGTTTTGGTTGTCATGGCCAAGATCATGGTTGCCAGCATGTCCCTGGTTTGGAATTTTGGCTTTGCCCTTTTTGTGCCAACCTGTGCCTGTGACTTTCTTGAGGAAATCTCAGTACACGCTTTTTCCAAGAAAAGCTGGGTTTGTCTTGTCTCTTAAAAAAAACTTTAAAAGGTTAACTAAAATAATAATATCTTAAAGTATACTTAGAAGGTGCATTTAAAATTCCAGTCCCTCAGAAGGGGAGAAAGCACCAATTTCACCATTCTATGAATGCTATAAGCTGATTTATGGCTTCTTTTGACAGTTGGTCATGTGGCAGGGGCAAAGGAGCAGCTGGTAATGCAACCAGTAAAAGCTAAAGAGGAGGAAATGCTATGTTACAGAAGCAGAGGGATATTATTAGCTCCTGCACTCTGCTAGAGATGATGCTTGAGATGAGAGAAGCTCTTTAGGAGGCCAGAGAAATTTCCCTGAGGCTTTTAGGACCAGACTGTGCTGCAGTGAAATGAGGGGCCACAGATGCAGAGAGGTGCTGGACAATCACATAACTGAGTCCAACACTGACACTGTATTTTTGCTAATTACTGTAATTGAGTGTGCTGGGTAAGAGACAAAAAAGTCATGAGCTGATGCATCTTGGGAATTAAAACAAAAACTTTTTCGGAGAGTTGCTTTATCAAATTGAGAAGGACCAAGGTGACCCCTCACTTTGCAGATGGCAAAGGGCACTGACAATAGCACCTGGATTGCCACATCAGTAACCCATGGAAATCATGGTTCCTGTCCTTTAGAGCTCTCTGGATGGGAAATGTGGACCAGCCTCTCTCTTAACCTTACCAAGCTCACCCTTACAGCCTCGAATCTTGCTCAGATAAGCAAGATGCTCATACTAAGCTGTCTCTCATGGAGAGATTCTCCATGAGAAATGGAGAATGAGAACAGATGAGAAACTGTTCCAGACATTGATTGTTCTGACTGTGTAACCTCCTTCTCCTATTTTGCCACCCATGTCCTAAGATAATCTATCAACCCCCTTGAACGGGCTTGCAAAGTGTGAGATGCCAGAATGTGTATAAATTTAAATGTTTATAAGAAGTGAAAAGGCAAGAAAAATTGACATTAATAATATTTAGCTTTTAAAAAACTCAAATAAAATGAAAACCCCACAACCTCCCATCCCAAAGTTCTTAAAACAGAAGGAATCTCTTCATGTAGGAAACTACAGAAGAGCATTTAGAAGATCAAAGAAGGAAGAATTCTAACACTGAAAAATGTGCATGTGATAGCAAATGCGGCCAGTTCTGCATCAAGATGGGGTTTTTGTGACTCTTCCCTGCATGTATTCCAGATGAAAGTCCCCTTTCCTAAATAGTGAATGAAAGCATGCTGACTTAATGATACTGTTGACACATGTGTAGTGGCTTTTTCTCTTTTTTTCAGCTACAAGTAGCTGTGAACTGGAAAGCTCATAATAAATAATGAATGTAGCTTCTTCTGCCTTTCATCTCTGTGTCTCCCAATCTGGATATATTAAATTTCTTGAGCTTTGCTTCCATCTTAGCTCTGATAATCTCATATCCCTGTTGCCATTATTTATATTGCCTTGATCCATCTTGTAAAATGAGGCCAAGTTCTTATTTAAAGCTGTATCTGGATCATCCTTGATCTATGTGCTAGCTCTATTATATAAAACTTCTTTTTTTTTTTTTTTGCTTCCTTGCTCTTCTCCTCTTATTCATATACACAACAGTCTTGTTGCTCTTTGTTCGGAATTACAACTCTTCTATTTGTAAAATAGCATTTGTTCAAGTTGTGTTTAAATTATATTCAAAAATAGAAAATTTTTAGTAGACAGTGGAGTATTTTTCATATACCCTAAACTCTCTCCTAAATCCATTTTGCATTTTTTAAATCAAGTGTTTATTTCTGTAATTTAAAAAAATGAGC